GCAACACACTTACATATTTACATATAAAAAACAGTAACATCTGTATTATTATATTAACATGATAGTATGTAACACTTATATAATTAACATAATCATACTTATACATGTTGTAATTTAAGTATGTTATATACTAATATGTTATACATAATATATAACTATAGTTTGAAACAGTTCTATATATGTATAATTCATAATACTAGTATGCAACATACTTACATATTTATGTACAATATATGTAACATTTTAACATACTTATATATAATTAACATATTAGTGTGTAACACCTGTATTATGTATAACATAATATCACTATATATAATATAAATTATAATTAACACATTATGTAACACATGCTGTTAATATGTATGTTAAATAACATAATATATACTATATAACATGTATTAACATATTAGTATGTAATATACTTAACCTCTTATGTATAACAATATTATGTAATATATTTTTATATTATGCATAATTAACATTAGTATGTAATATACTGATATATATAACAATTGTATATAACATACTTATATACTAATATTGTTTTATATACTAATATTAGTTATACATAATATATAATGTATAAAAAACAGTAACATTTATTATGGATAACATACTTATATGTTGTGTATAATTAACACATTAGTATGCAATATACTAATATATATAAATGTTAATATAAATAAGTTAATGTATATAACTAATGTATTCGTATATAACATAGTTATATACTAATATGTTAAGTCTTACTATTGTATTCAGTGTATAATGTGCTTATACATATTAATACACAATATGTAATTTAAATATTAGTACATAACATATAATACTACTATGTAACCTACTTACATATTATGTATAATTTACATTAATACTGTTAGTGATATATATAATTAATAGTCTATAAGTATGTTACATTAAGTATGTTACATACTAGTATTAGTTATATATAATGTAGGTAAGTGTTACACAATAGTATGTTAATTATACATAAGTATATATTATGTATATTATATAACAAATTATGTAACATACAAACTAATGTTAATAATGTATATAAGTATGATACACACTGATATAAGTGTTGCATACTAATATGTTAATGATGTATGTTCTATAATGTTAATTATA